ACAGCCTCATCTGACTGATACTTGTCCTTGTTACGTAGAGATATGGAGCCCGTGGCTTCGGCGATAATGTGCTGATTGCCATCGTCGATGATGGAGACGAACGCACGATTGCATCCGAAGCGCAAGACTCCCAGTTGGGCCAGGGCGGTCAGGGAGATGTCGGATGAGAGTCGGACGTCCTGAGGCAGCCCTGTTCCTACCTCCTCTTGCGTTTCTCGATTGGAGGACTGTGGGAGTGAGGGTATGTGATCGATAGTGCAGTAATATCTATTTTTTTACCCGTGTCGGCAATGATCAGCGGAAGGATTCTACTATGGTGTAAATAATATGATGTGCTATGACCTAGCATACTGATATACACACCTAGAAAGTTCGCGGATCCTCTCTCTTTCCGCATCGGTCGGAGGGGGTCGCGGTACGGAAGCTGCCATCATCACATATCTTCTGGGGGAATAGCGTGGAGGAGAAATGGAGGGGAGAGAGATGTGCTTGGAACGTGAAAGTCTTGAAGGAACTGGAGATGGGCAAGAAACGTGGAATCCACCAGTGGGGGTTCAGACAATACTAGGTCGTCTCCAATTGGTTGTCTGAGGAGGTTTCGGGCTCTAGAACCTCTTCCAAATCTCTCCGACGTAATTGGACGATCCGCCAACTGAAACGGCCGGTAAGAGATTCCGCCATTGACAACCAAAGATCGATGGCATGTGCGTAGGTGGGTTCCGCGTTGTTCGCCTCCAGCCTCTTTGGAGGGACTAACTGTTTCAAGCGAATGGGTTGTTCCATAATTAGTCAAGGAAATAAATTATTATCCGACAGCTGTCAGTAGATGGTAGACTTATGAGAGACTACTGCACTGTGACTTCTGTCAAATGATCACAGTATCTCGTCGTGCCTCAAAATCAGGGCAGATCTAAACCTTATGCATGGCCGCCCGAAACCGCTGCCATTGGTCCGTAGTTACCACCAGTTCATGCGGCACACGAGCATAACCACATGTGTTTCATCAGTCAGCTTCGTGGCCGTTTTCAAGTAGGATCTGTCCATTGCAGAGAAGAAGACGGTGTAGGGTCGCTGTGCTTGCAGGTTACAATGTTTTATTGGCCTATTCTCCTTTCTGTGGATGAGGCTATTTTTTATCTGACGATCGATGGGATTAAAATATATAATACTTTAACACCAGAGCATCCCCACAACAGCATGGGAAAAGACTAGCTATGATGAGCTAGAATTTATAGCGCTAGAGATATACTAGAAAATAAAGCTTCGCTTCTTTAGTTCAATTATAGGACCTTGCGTCAGCAGCTTGGAAAGGCGTACTTTGTGTTGTGGGTAAGAGTATACCATTAGCTGGCCTATAGAATAATAAAAATTATATCATCATCACCATTAGGCGAGATGGCCGAGCGGTCCAAGGCGCTGGAGTAAGGTTCCAGTCTCGAAAGGGGCGTGGGTTCAAATCCCACTCTCGTCAATATCTTTTTTTCCTTTCCACAACCCATCCATACTCATCAACCTTCTCCTATATGGATAAAATTATTATTCTTCTTTTTTAGTATTCCTTTGTACCACACTGTACCTCTACCCAGACCTATAATGAAAGGATCCTGATACTACTTCGCACCTATAGTTAACTGAGCCTGCCTTCCCCGCATATATAGAGAAGCGAAACAGGGCCAACTCAAGCCTGCGCATCCATAGTAAACTCCGTTTCTAGCAAGGGAGATAAGACATTGTCAAGTATCAATTGATTTTCTGACACCAAAAACAAGCAGCGTTTCTGTGTGCGTATGTTTTACTATACTCATTGAGTAGTATGAAAGATGATCATATAACACTGATCTGATTCTAGCGGACTCTGGGACGGACTTTGGAAGTCATACCGAAATAGGCATAGCCTACATTGGATTGCATTATCCATGTAGTAGTAGTGCATATTGAGTACTAGCTTGCTTGACCTGACTTTGCTGATCTACAGAGTAGCTTCACTGCATGCTTCAGACGGACCGTGTGGCTGTGTGTGCTGTGGACCCTGATACGACTGCCATTGTTGCCAGAAACTCAAATCAAAAAGCTCAGACGTGCTACAGAGTGTAGGAATCCATCCATTGCATTCCTAATTTGGGCAGAGTTCCTTATTTAGTATGTTGTAGGTTTCCATTACCCACCTCAATGGTAGAATATGGTGATAGGCGCCAGTTCCTAGAAACAAACCAAATCAAGCTGATCGGTAAAAATAGGAAATGAACCCTCTGAAAGTAGGAAGTATGGGGTACAAGAGACGCCGTAGTGTAGCACGGTAGATACATCCGCTGAGTCAGCCATAACACCATTTAGTTAACTAGGAGGGGTTCCTTAGATCTGAAGTTGCAGCATGAGTCATCCCTGCGGGGCAGAGATTTGAAGAATGCGCTTCTCTTGATGTGCTTATCTTCCTCCCGCACACTATTTCGGCTTTCTCCTCCCACTAACCCGAATTTCTCCTCCCCAGTCCCCCCTCCTGACTACCTTGAGGACCCGAGGTGAAAATAAAAAACCACTCATAATTGAGAGATTCACGTCCTCTGATCGGCTGGAAAAATGACGGAACAAACTAAAACCATTCTTCCTGAACCCGGAAAGCGCAATATCCTGGTCACTAGCGCTCTGCCATATGTGAACAATGTTCCTCATCTGGGCAATTTGATAGGTTCAACACTTTCCGCCGATGTCTTTGCCAGATATGGCCGAGGCCGTGGTTTTAACACTCTCTATGTCTGCGGTAAGCGCCCTATACTCTCATGCGACCCTTGCCGATGCTACCTCGTACTGACTGTTTCTGTTGCCAGGTACCGATGAGTACGGTACGACGTCAGAGGCGAGAGCCATCGTCGAGAAGATGACCACGAAGGAACTTTGCGATAAATACTATGCGCTCCACGCAGAAGTCTACAAATGGTTCAACATCAGCTTCGACATCTTCGGCCGGACAACAACCGAGCTTCAAACCAAGATCACCCAAGACATTTTCCTCAAGCTTCATGAAAACGGCTTCTTGTCGGAACATGTTACCACTCAACTATACTGTGAAGAGCACAAGTCGTTCTTAGCCGATCGATTCGTACTAGGTGAATGCCCACACTGCAAATATATCGACGCCTACGGTGATCAGTGTGACCTTTGCGGTCAGCTTCTGGACCCATTGGATCTCATCAAACCGCGCTGCAAGCTTGACGGTGCCACCCCTGTGAAGAGGGATACGAAACATATATTCTTAAAGTTGGACGCATTGCAACCCGAGATCCAGGCATTCTTTAATGAGTCCGCGGCAAAGGGAGGGTGGTCACAAAACGGCAAAGACATTACGTCCGCCTGGTTGAACAAGGGATTGCAAGAGCGTAGCATTACTCGAGACATCAAATGGGGTACCCAGGTTCCTCTTCCAGGCTATGAGGAGAAGGTCATCTACTCGTGGTTCGATGCTTGCATCGGTTATGTATCCATTACAGCAAACTACACTAGCGAGTGGGAGAAATGGTGGCGCAACCCGGAAGATGTCCAGCTTTATCAGTTCATTGGAAAGGACAACGTTGCCTACCATTCCGTTATGTTCCCCGGCACTGAGATCGGTACTCGGGAGAAGTGGCTAAAGGTTCACCACCTCTCAACCACAGAATACCTGACCTACGAGGGCGGCAAGTTCTCCAAGTCTCGCGGCATTGGTGTGTTCGGAGACTCGGCCAAGAAGACCGGAATCCCTGCTGACGTATGGCGTTACTACTTGCTTTCCCACCGTCCGGAGACTGGCGATGCCGAGTTCAACTGGGACTTCTTCATCAGCTCCAATAATAACATCCTACTCAAGAACCTGGGCAATTTCGTCAGCCGTGTTGTGAAGTTCGTCAACTCCAAGAACTACGATAACATCGTGCCTGATTACACCACCTACTCCGAACCTGCGTTTGATGCCTGGAAGGAGGAAATCAATGAGTTGCTCACACAGTACATCCAGAGCCTCGATGCCGTAAAGATCCGTGCCGCCATCGACACCGTCCTCACCATCTCCCAGAAGGGTAACTTGTTCCTCCAGTCCAACAGCCTTGACAACAAGCTTGCCGAGAATGAGCCGAAGAAATGCGCAGCTGTGATCGGCCTCGCCCTCAACCTCATCCACCTCCTTTCCGCCCTCCTCGCCCCATACATGCCCGAAACAGCCGCCACCATCAATGAAATCCTCCGTACAGAGGCAATCCTGATCCCCGATCGTTGGGAAGCCAACACCGTCAAGCCCAACCACGAAATTGGCAAGGCCCAGTTCCTGTTCAGCAACATCAAGCCCGAGAAGGCCAACGAGTGGCGTGACATGTTCGGTGACGAGGAGGCCAAGAAGGTCAAGGAGGAAGAAGCCAGGAAGAAGGCCGCCAAGAAGGCAGAGAAATTGGCTAAGAAGGAGAAGAAGAAGGAGCAGAAGGAGAAGGGGTCTGCCACCCCCGATGGAGTCTCGGAAATTTCTCGTTCAACTGAGAACCTGCAGATTCAACAGTAGACCACTATTTATACGGTCACCGCGCGCCATCATATTACAAGACGATGTCGCCGTTGTACGTCTAGAATGATGCCACCAGCGATGTGGTAGACATGATTTGATATGATCACCTAGAGCCTATTTATTTTGCAAGGGATGTGACTGGCATTTTATATTCCTTTATTCTTTTTCCGTCAGACTTTATTCTCGGATATCAAAGACTTCAACGTCCCGAAAGTGTAGTTAGAGATGATACCACGGGCCAATGGCGCATTATCAATCAGACTAGCACTGTCTTCAACGATTACATACCATTGATCTTAAAATCAAATATGAACTACCGTGAGCATTACCTGAATACTGCAAACACGGAGTATGTATAGCAAAAGGAAATAAAAGACTTTTCAGTAAAGGGAAAGAGAAATGCATAACCAAAAAGTACCATATACACACAAAGAATAATTTTCAGAAAAAGACTACGAAAAAGCAAAAAAGAATTTGGGACGAGCCGGGTTTGAACCGACGACCTCCTGATCACCTGGTAGGTGTTTATGATGAAGTTGAACTTCAGTCAGACGCGCTCCCAACTGCGCCATCGTCCCAATTGATAAGTTATCTTGTTTATCTCATGCTATATGAGAGACAAAATCTCTTTATAGTATAGCTTCCAAAGACTAAATAGACACGAGATGTGTCTAGATAGCTACTAAACTAAGGATTATCAGACCATAAATCGAGCAGACCCCTTTCTCCAATCGACCTTAACGGTGGCCCGGTCAAGCTTCAAGTCAGCTGGACACCACCTTCCATTTGTCATGGTTCCCAAGCTTCTCTATAGTTAGTACAATAAATCCAAACAACTCTCACAATGAACCCTAAAACAAGATACAAATCTACCCGAAATCCCCAACCTCCCCCTCTAATCAAGCAGGAACCCCCATCACAAGAATACAAAAATTACTCAACCCTCTTCTTCACAAGTCCCATCTCCCTCCTATACTCACGATCCCCCCTCACAAGCCACCTACTACCCTCCACCAACTGAATAACATTCACATACTGCTTGAACACCATAACCGGCGCCGACGCCCAAAGCAGAATCCCCGGAATGAACTGATCCACCTTATTCGCCCTATGCAACACCCATCAGCAAAATCACATTACTCAGTCATACATTCAACCCTCCAGGTAAAACAAAAACTCACCGAGCCCTCTCCATAGCACCAGCACTCCACGGCGAAGCCCACACCTGCCCCCCAGCAGCCTCCATCGAAAACGAAAGCAAATACACGGTTAAAAAGAACAATTCATTCCCAAAACAGGTTATGAACAGAACGACCTACCACGACTACGTTAGTTTCAACACCCCAAATCTAGCGCAGGTAGAAACAAACAGTGTTCGAGTAATAAACCCTCAAGGCCCAATGTCTTCCGTCCCCGATCTCCTTGTGACTCTTACGGTTTCCGCCCATGGCCAATGTAGCGTACATGTGGATGTAATGGCTGGAGTAGTCGAGACTGATCAGGCCTTGGAAGAGGATGCTCCAGCGGGGGAAGGCGGTGGCCAAGAAGACGAGGAGACAGGATGTTGTGCAGCGGTCTGTAAGCATGTCTAGGACGGCGCCGAAGTGGGTGGATTGGTGGAGGTGGCGGGCTGCGAGACCATCTATCGCATCGAGGAGACAGGAGAGGGTGTAGAGAGTTGCGCAGGTTAAGGGGTGGTAGGGCATGTAGTGGAGGGAGGCGAGGGCGAGGGTTATGCGGGTGTAGCCTTTTGTTTGTGATGGGTTGTTATTGGGTGAGTTTGTAATGGGAATGCAGGGGAGAGGATAGTACCGATGAGGTTTGGGATGAAGAGGTAGACATTTTCGGTTCTGGGGGGATTTGGGGACATGGTTTTAGGTGAGGCTGTACGTAGATGGATAGAGAATGGTTCCTAGAATATTTAGTGGTGCCTAGGTAGGTCCTTATAAGTGCTATAGTGCTACTGGGTTATATACTAGGGTGAGAAGGGGAGCTGCCTATTGGGGTTTAGTGTCTTCGAGGATCTAAACTAATCCTTGTATATAATAGCAGGCTGCTAATAAAGAGTAGACAGTAGAATGTAATTGGTTCTTCTAGATAACAAACAAAGTATCCTGGGCCCTCCTTTTACACTAGGCGTATTGTCCCTGCCATCTCCATTTCTAACTCCATGGTGAATAGCTTAAATGAGGCTTCCAAGCTGATCTAAGCTTCGCGGCACAGGGGCCCATTTTTGACAGGCTTCTTTCTAATAAGCAGCTTGAGCTTGTAGGTGGGTCTCTCGGATGGGGTGACTTAGTGGGCTTGGTATGGTTCTAACATCCCTTAGCGTTATGATCTTGATCTCCTCAAAGTACAAGGACTCTGTGAACCCGACCGAGCAGGATTATCGTATATATCATACGGTGTACAAGTATCCATTCGGCATCTCGATATTCCTCTTCAAAAAATTTGATTCGGGTGTCATAGAATCATAGCCGCCTTCACTGAAGCATAAGGTTTTCTCGAGGGCACCAACTTTGGAAGTCCAGGAGGGTGCCTCTTCCCTGACAAAGTTGGAACTTCGTTGCTCAGACATATCCGTTGTATCATTCCGACGGATTCCAAGTTCTAGTCTCCAGTTGAACGCATCTACAAGCGCTTCTACCATGCTGGCAAGAAAGGCTTATCGAAGAGGATCATCGTCCTGAGGCTCTGGGATGCAAGAACGCTAACGACCAGCGAGGCTCAGGGTGAAAAAAGAAGTATGAGCACTCATAGCCCATCATGATGAAATTAGAGGCACAGACATCCTCGACAAGTCGATAGAGCGAGCAGAGCGGTGGATCGCGGAAGCGGTAGATTGGGATATTATAGAGCTGCCGAATCCCAGGCTGGGCGTTCGTGAATATTAGGGTGCCTTTCTATCTCTTCCTCAGACAAAAGAGGACATGGCAAAGGATACCGCCATGGGAACGGCCAAACAAGAAGGGAAAAAAAAAAAATCGATCACGGATGGGGACAGACACCGACTCGGCCTAAGGTGGATCGAATCCGTAAGGGAGAACATCCATGGACAATACTTTTGACTGGGTTCCGCATTTTTGTTGTGCGGTTAGACCTTGACTACAAACCAAAGCATTGGAGTGACGCAGCAGAGAAAGGCACTGTTTGTGTCATGCGGCTACCAACTGAATTACTCTGTCGGAGATTAGGAAATAGGAATAATCAACTCAAAGTTACGTTGACAGTGCCTGCTGTTCACATCTGAAACATTGTCGAATGGCTCGGAGCCCCGTAATAAGTGTCGGAATCGCGTATCTAGAAAACCATGTTACATGAAGCCCTGACTCTGATCCTTCTTTTCATACTCTTTAGCGACCCTGTCAATGGCTTGGTCCTCAATGGGGGGTGTAAACAATCTTATCCCAACCCTTTGCTCTCTCCCTTGATATTGGTCCTCCTTCATATCTTCCACTATTTTCCTTAGCAGTGCAACTGCATCACTGACGTCTGTCTCTCGTCCTGTTGACTCTATCCTTTTATTTTTCGTGCCAACTACCATTCCCACTGGGCGGCATAGGAAATGAGTTTCTCCCCTTCCCATAACACGACATTCTGTGCCACTGAATCCCGGTAGAGTGGCCTAGCAGTATTACCAACCGCAAATATCCGAACCTTGTCGTTAACCCAGTTTGCATGATAATGCTGAACATGGGCAACATTCTTCGTCGCTCGATCCAGTTTCTCCTCAATTTTCGCCAAATTCTTGAGCTCTGGGCCAATCAAAAAGTCCAAGTCTTCTGTGGATACTCTATGGTTGGAAATAGGTAACAGCAACGAAGCCGCTGACGGCAACAAGTCTTATAGGAACTGCCTTTCGAAGATTCTTGCCTTTCCGATCTCTTTGTCGAGGTGGCCAAGTGCTGATGGACAAGGTTAGCTTACCCTAGATCTCATTTGCTTTCCTTGACTGCAACTCTTTTTTTCTACCTTCCTGAAAATTTGCATTGCTAAAGGTCACTTTCAGGGAAGCAATGGCTAGATATCGCAGGCACTTGAACTAGATGGGAAAAGAGTCGTAAGTGTAAAGATGGTGGATCTAGTCTTGGAGTAGTAAGGAGCGTAGGAGCAGCAGACCAGAGATGGTACTACATAGCAAGAAGATGAAACAGCGTTGGTGATGAGAATATGTGCAATCACCTAGGTGTCATTCCCTGGCTTCCATTAACCAACCCTACCGTTCACTGTGCCATGTGAGACAGAATGATATCGCCCACATCCTAGTCCCCCCAAGTCTATCACCCTCGAAAAAACCCTCCCAAAATAGCATTCACCTCATCTCTAGCCTCCAACTGTACCCAATGACCAGCCGTCGACACCCGTCTAATAACCAAATCACTAGCAACCTGCTTCATTCCCTCTTCCACACCAGGTACTTCCAGCTTCGACGAGCTCGGACTAAGCATGAGAACAGGCATGGAAAGCACCGGATCAAGATTCTCCTGGCTCTCATCTTTCTCGTTGATATTCCAGACAAGAGCGCGGTACCAGTTCAAAGCTGATTTGTGGTTTCCTTGCATGAGCCTTTGGTGAGTCAGTCGTTCCTTCATCGTATGTTAGACTTCTTTCTTCCTATTGCTGTACTGATAAGAACATTACCTCCTCGGTGATATAGGAAGGCCAAGGACCCCGTCGATCGGCTAAAAGCCATTTTTCCATCGCGCCCATCGGCCCAACATGCTCAACCCATAATTCCGCATCATCGGGGTAAAACAGCGTGAAGAATGAATCCCCCTATGACAACCACATCAGCCTATCTCCTCATCATAATACTACATACAACCACAGCCAAGGATACTCACAAACCGATCCAATACATCCCCCGCCTCATCCCGGACAAAGAACTCCAAGTATCCAAACCTCTCAAACCCCATAACAGACCTAGTTCCTGTGTTAACAGTCTCTAGATCGAAATGTACACCGGGCTTCATATATGGCACATCAAGAAACGAGCACGACAGCAGCCGTTCCGGAAAATAGTCCGCTAATCGAGAAAGAAGAGTACAGCCTGTATCGTGGCCTACGCCGTGGACTTTTGATATTCCCTCGTGGTCCAGGATCTCGATGATCTCGGACGCCATGGATTTGGTTTTGTAGGCGGCTAATGCGATGGGCTTGCTGGTGCGCCCGTAGCCTAGGAGGTCTGGGGCTAAGATGCCGTAGCCTTGGGCTGTGAAGTGGGCTATTTGATGACGCCAGTCGTAGCTGGTGGATGGGAAGCCATGAAGAAGGAGGATAGTTGGTTTGGGGGATGTTGGCGGGTGGTGAATGTAGGTGTAGGTGTGGTTGGTTGAGAGGCTGTGGGCTTTTGAGGCCGACATTGCTTTCTTCCCTCTTCTTTATATTTGTGTGAAAATGAGGGTTTGTCTGGGGAATTCTGGGCATCGTTGGTGATTTATATGGAGTTATGTAGATGTCAGCGGAGACTTTCGGAGACTTGGCGTTGCGCTAGGATATCATGGGGCATGCATTTGGGGTTAAAGACAATGGTATGCTATTTAATTGAGAGTGATTAGTTTAATCCGCATGATGAGTA